TTTGGAGGGAGGGTAGGGGAGGGTGGGGGTAAAGGAGAAAGAGCAACCAAAGGACTTATATGCAAGCATATAGGCCTAACCAATGGACACGGACAACGGGGGTGGGGGGGGAGGTAGGGGGTAACATGGGGATAAGGACACATGTAATATCTTAATCAATAAAAAATATATTAAAAAAAAAAGAAATATCAATGAGAGAGAATCATTGCTTGCCTCTTGCACGCCCCCCACTGGGGATTAAACCGGTGACTTCTTAGTTTCTGGGTCAAGGCTCAACCACCGAGCACATTGGCCAGGCTGAATTTTTTTTTAGAGTCTATTTTGTTTATTTCTGCTCCAATCTTTACTATTTCCTTCCTTCTACTGACTTTGAGTTTTATTTCTTGTTCTTTAAGTGTAAAGTTAGATTGTTTAGTTGAGCTTTTTCTTGTTTCTCTTTTTTTTTAATATATGTTTTTATTGATTTGAGAGGAAGGGAGAGGGGAAAAGAGAAACATCTATTGGCTGCCTTCTGCACAACCCCTACTGGGGAATGAGACCACAACATCGCCGTGTGCTCTGATCAGGAATCGAGCTGGAGATCTCTCAGTACACGGGATGATAATCAATTAAGCCACACCAGCCAGGGCAAGATTGTTCTTGTTTCTTGAGATAGGTCAGTGATGCTACCAATTTCCCTCTTAGGACTGCTTTCCCTGTGTCTGCAGATTTGGGGTTGTTGTGTTCTCATTTTTATTTGTTTCAGGGTTATCTTTTGATTTCCTCCTTGATCTCACTGTTAACCCATTCATGTCTTTGTGTGTTTCTTAGTTTTTTGTGTGATTGATTTCTAGTTGCATACCATTATGGTCAGAGAAGATGCTTGTATCCTAGTATGTGGTCTCTCCTAGAAAATGTTCCATGTTCCCTTGAAACGAATGTATATTCTGCTGCTTTGGGGTGAAATGCTCTGGAAATATCAATTAAATCCATCTGATCTAGTGTGTCATCTAAGGCCACTGTTTCCTTGTGGATTTTCTGTCCAGGAGACTTATCCATTGATGTCAGTGGGGTGTTGAAATCCCCTGCTATGACTGCATTGCTGTTGATCTCTCTCTTTATGTCCATCATGATTTGCCTTATATATTTAGGTGCTCCTATGTTTTGGTGCATAAATGTTTACGGGGATTATATCCTCTTGTTGGATTGCTTCCTTTATCATTATACTAGAGGCCCACTGCGCGAAATCGCGCAAGACCCCGACCCGGCGCACCATGGGACCCAGTGCACCGCGGGACAGTGTCAAGTCCCCACCCACCCATGCGCGCCTTGCCGCGCACGCAGACCCGCCCACCTTGAAGGCAGTTGTGGACGGAGATAAGAATAGTTTCCTGCCCTAACCGTTCCTTCTCGGGAGCACTTAAATTGGCCTCCATTGGAAGATGAGAATTGAACAGAGCAACACTTCCTTGTTCCCATGAGGAAGTCATATGACGTTCAGCAGTTGCCTTTGGCGTTTGGTCGTTACGGCGTGATGGTGCCACGGCCACGGGGGTTTTATAATAGAGATAGTGACCTTCTTTGTATCTTACTGTAGCCTTTGTTTTAAAGTCTGTTTTGTCAGATATAAGTATTGATACTCCAGCATATTTTGCCCCTGCCATTTGCATGAAATATCTTTTTCCATCCCTTTACTTTTAGTCTGTGTGTGTCTGTTGTTCTGAGGTGGGTCTCTTACAGACAGCAGATATATGGGTCTTGTTTTCTTATCCATTTAGCTACCCTTTGTTTTTTGTTTGGAGCATTTAAGCCATTTACATTTAAAGTGATTGTTGATAAGTACATATTTATTGCCATTTTATTTTTCTTTTATTCTTCTGGTTTTTCTTCTTCTTTTTAAAGCAGGCCCTTTAACATTTCTTGTAATACTGGTTTGTTGATAACAAACTCCTTTAGCTTTTCTGAGAAGTTTCTTATTCTTTCTCCTTCAATTTTAAATGATAGCCTTGCTGGGTAAAGCAGTCTTAGTTGTAGGTCCTTGCTTTTCATCACTTTGATGTTTCCTGCCAATCCCTTCTGGCCTGAACTGTTTCTGTAGAGATCAGCTAACTCTCTTTCTCCTGCAGTTTTTTGGCTATGCTTTCTCAGCCTTCGCCAGGTCTCCTTTGTGTTTTATTTCTTTAACATTACATGGAAACCTAGAGGTCCAGATTTCAGGGGAGTCTCGGTTAACAGCCCTGCTTCTGCTCCATGAGGACAGGACAGCAACTCAAACTTAGACCCTGATCCCGTACAGTCACGGTTATCTAGAATGAAAAAAATTACATCTTCGGAAGCATAGAGCCAAGTCACCTTCTGCCCCACACCCACTCTCATGTTTTAGCAAAGAGCTCTGGAAGGATCATTCAGCTATTGTCCAATGTCGGTTTTACCACTGTGTTGCCTGGACTCCCTTTTATTCCTATTGCCTTCACACCACCACATTTGATTTTTCATGACACAGCTCCTGAAGGCGGAGACGTTGTCGGTAAACTTTACTGTACACTCGGGAAAGAAAAGAGTAAAGGCACTTGTAGAAAATGTAAGCAGCATGATAACAGCTGCACTGTCACCTGGGCGCTCTCTTGGCCTGGCCTTCAGCTGCCACATTCATTTCATCCTGCCTCGTTGCTCAGGCCAGCACCAAGCACTCCTTCCTCACTAGAACCAATACCTCTCCTCAGGGTGTGTCTTCTAGACCTGCCACGAGTTCATCCCTGAGTTCCAGTCCACGTGGCGGTGCCACAACAAACAGTGTCACCTTTCCTGGCTTAGGTTTTGGAAATGCTCTGTTTAATGACAAATCAGGGAAACCCGTCCCCAAACCAGAGAGGAAAGGACACCGTTGTCTGGATGACCCAGTACCTGGCTGAATCTGCCCGAGTCTGGAAAAGACCCAGTATCGAGTGGAGCCCGTGGGTTTCTACCCCAAGTCTGCGGTCGTCCTTGGGGCGGGCTTCTGGAGAGCCAGCCTCTGGGGGCTCGTCGTCTTCTCTGCCTGCACTTAGCCACGGGCGACTCCTGGTGTGCAGTGGCACCTCCTGGACCTGAATAGGATGCAGCGGGACTAGGGAAGGAGATAAGGAAATGGTCAGGGTAACAGCTCATTTGAATCTTAAATTAGAATTCGGGGGGCGAAGGGGGCATAGAAGAGGGTCTGGGGGGTAAACAGTGAAGGACAGAGACTTGACGGGGTGATGAACACAATACAGTGCACAGATGATGTGTTGTAGGGGGAATTGGAATTCTGACTTCTAAGATATTACACAAACAGAATTAGTATGAATTGTTACAACATAGTATAAAGACAAAGTAGGCTGGTTTAGATATAATTTGGGTTGATCCAGTTAAGCAAATAGAAACATTAAACTGTTTTTATAACCTTTCACTTTATAATCACTCGCTTCCTCGAGTTGCCACGGGGAGGTTCTGTCTGAGTTGCACGTTGTTCGCTGCCGTGTGTGACTGGTTCCTGTCCTTTGCGTTTCAGGAAACAGACCCAGACTTCGATCACTGTGCCGTCTGCATAGAGAGCTATAAGCAGAACGACGTTGTCCGGGTTCTCCCCTGCAAGTATGTCAGCCTCCTTGGTAAAAAACACTGGTGGTGGCGTGTATGTCTCCCTCCGAGTGGGGGTGCCGGCTGCTTTCCGAGCCGCCTGGGCCGGGCTGTCCTGCAGGCCTGGCCGCTGCGCCCGCCGCACGGAGCTGGAGCTGCAGTCGGGGGCGAGCTGTGCTGCCCGCCAGAGCTGATTGCACAGGTTTCTCAGGTTATGAGAAACACAGGGGCACGACCTCTGGCCACTTCTGTAGGCTAGAAAGCAGGAAGGTCAAAAATATTTAATTCTGTGAATTCTGTGGGTTTCAAAACTAGCCACCATTCCTCTCCTTGAATCGTTGCACGCCCCTAGTCCCTCTGATAATGCCTCAGCAGTGGGCGGGGTGCCAGAGCCTAGGGACCTCGGTTGTCCTTTTCTGAACGTGGTCATGCAGAGGGGGGTGCTGGATGGGCGCTGCACGCCGTCCCCGGGTCAGGTGCTCTGCTCTGTGCAGGTCACGTTTCCAGTCTCCTGTACGGGTCAGTGTTTTCTCCCCGTGGAGGGGAGTGAAGCCAACAGTACCTGCCAGTGCCATGCTGTTCAGAAATGGCTGAGCTGCCCAGCCAGTGTGGCTTAGTGGTTGAACGTTGACCTGTGAACCAGGAGGTCAGCGTTTAATTCTTGGTCAGGGCACATGCCCGGGTTGCGGGCTCAATCCCCGGTAAGGGGACATGCAGAAGACAGCTGATCAATGATTCTTTTTCATAATTGATGTTCCTGTCTCTCTCTCCCTCTCCCTTCCTTTTGAAATCAGTAAAAATATATTTTTAAAAAAGAAGGAACGGCAGAGCAGCTACAGAGGTCTGCTCACTGCTGGGCCTGGCACAGGGCCGGACCTGTCTCAGAGGAGGCGTGCGCCTGCACTCGGTGCCTGACAGGAGCACGTCCTCGTTAGCGTGTCAGCCCCTGCATGGTGCTCCCCATACCTGGGAATGTGAAACATGAAGATACGCTGTCCAACTACTGTTTTGTTTTGTTTTGTTTTTAATATATTTCATTGATTTTTTACAGAGAGGAAGGGAGAGGGATAGAGAGTTAGAAACACTGATGAGAGAGAAACATCGATCAGCTGCCTCCTGCACATCTCCTACTGGGGATGTGCCTGCAACCCAGGTACATGCCCTTGACCAGAATCGAACCTGGGACCTTTGAGTCTGCAGGCCGACCCTCTATCCACTGAGCCAAACCGGTTAGGGCAACACTGTCCAACTATTGATTGGAAGAATAGGGAAGTACCTATTGAGAAGCCTAAAATCAAAGATTTTTTTTCTCTTCCTTCTCCCTTGCTTTATAACACATCCCCACAACCCACCTCTAATAATGCCAGATGGGAATGAGTGGAATAATTAATAAGCGTTGTCTCCGTGAACTACTGGTATTATTTTACTTATTCACAAAGTGGTCTATTTTGAGCCTAGAAATATCTGTTTTAAAAGATCATGGAACTTAAGAATACCTACTTTACATATGAAGATAAATCTATAAAATTAAGTGTGAGCTGTCCTATAGAAATTAAGTTATGCATTTCCAGCATTCTGTTCTGTGTAGTCATTTACAGCCTAAAGCATGGGGTGAAAGCAAATACTAGTCAGGGAAAGGTCGGCAGGATACGTGATGAAGCATGGTCAGCTGTTCCCTGCTTTTTTATTTATTTACTTATTTATTTTGGTTAATCCTCCCTCGAAGGTATTTTTTTCCATTGATTTTTAGAGAGAGTAAAAGGGAAGGGAGGAGAGGGGAGAGAGAGAGGGACATCAGTGTGAGAGAGAGGCATCAATTGCTTGCCTCCTGCACATGCCCCAACCGGGGCTGGGGGTTGAACCTATAACTGAGCTTGACCGGGAATAAAACCCACAACCCTCCAGGTGCACAGGCCAACGCCCTAACCACTGAACACACCGGCCAGGGCCATGCTCTGTTTTTGAGTATCAGAATTTTGGCAGACTTGACAGCATTTCTTTACACCCATAGCTAGGGCACCGCTCACTTCTGCGCTGCCCTTTCTGCATTGGAGCAGGTTGTTTGTTACACTTACATCTTCAGTCGTAGCTTTCTCTAAGCTACACTGCACACCCTGCTCAACACAACGTGTCACCTCACTGAGATGGCAACAGTGCACGGCTCGGGGGTTTATAAAAATCACCCGCACTGAGAACATGCTGTGGGACCCAAGGTGACAACCTCTGGCCTGGAGCCGGGTTTCTCAGCCTTGGCATGGTGACGGGCTGGGGTGGGGGGTGTTCTGTGCCCTGCAGGGTACTTAGCGGGATCCCTGGCTCCAGCCCGTAGATGCCAGGAGCACTCCCCTCCCCACACCCCACACCCCCCACCCCCGCACATAACTGTAGCCGTCCTGGGTGTCTTCAGTGGAGACTGGCCTAGAGCATGGCTGCACACGTACTCATTTTTACTACAATCTTCTCCAGCCTCCTCTTCATAGATCCCCCTCACGCACCTTCACCTGAACTCTGGTGCTGCTGCCCACTGTGCCCCTCTGCCTGGGCAGGCACCCTGCCCTAACTCTCGGGTCTCCAGTCTCTGGCACTGCGTAGAGGTGTGAGTGCTGCTGCTGCTTTTCACTCTTGCTGCCAGGCAGCTCTGGTTCCTCTTGTCTCCGGGTGCCGCAGAGCCCCTCCCCTGGTCGGCTCTCGCTGGTCCTCAGAGCGCTTCCAGCTGTATTTGTTCTCCTTAAACACCTGCCCTCATTCCTTTGTTCCTCACTGTCGGCAACACCCTCACCATCAACCTCAGGGAGGAAACAGTGG